ACCTCAACCTCAGTCCTCTTAAAAGCAAACAAAATGCCTCTCACACAAAAGAGAATGCCTTGGCAGGTTTTAGGCTCACTCACAGAATCAATGAAACCTACAGTATCATGCCTGGTAAATGAGCAGGATACAAAGGTGCCTTCTAGAGCCAGCAGCAGGGCCCTGGGGGTAGTGGGGAGCGGAGCAGGCTATGGCCCAGGTTTGGGTGAGGTGCCCTTCTGCAGCGCTGCCAGGACTAACCCCGCAGCAGTGCCCTCAGAGGCCTTTCTCCAGAAAGGAATGACAGATACTCATTGTAGGATGTCTGAGGTGCTTAAAAACATCAAGAACTTGAATAAGGCCAAGTATATCTGACTTCATATGTGCACGCCCATTGTCAAGCTTGTCTGTCTTCACGTGTGTTCGTCTTCATGTATGTGCACTACTTTCATGTGTGTCTTCACATATGCATGCACATCCTCACCTGTGAAAGCAGGATGGTGGCAGTACCCACATTGTATGTGGTGTGAGCGTCAGGCGGGCCCAGACACATAAAGAATGTATAAGTGTGCCTGGTACTTAGGGAGAACTCAATAACTATTACTGTTAGCTGTTACAGCTGCTCATAGTACTAGAGTAATACAGCGTGTGTGTGTGCGTGTGTTCTGTCATGGTCTGTATGGAAATACTGCAGAAGATACTGTTGGAGAGGAGACGGCGGAGGAAAATGCAATGACTGCATCTTAACGCCGTTGCTCTCCAAATGTGAACTGAGAATTATCACACTGGAGTCTGCCTCTAGAAGATGGAAGAAATGAAGGACCTTTGTTTTCCACTTACAGAAGCTGTGTAGCTGCAGTTCTAGTCCCATTTAACCCTGGGACTAGAAATCATCATAAGTGCTTGTTATCACCTGACTCCGTTTCTTTTGTGTTAATGTATATCCAGCCCAGCCAGGCTCTGCTTGCTGTCAGTAGGAGCAAACGGTACATGTGTGCATTGGAATTCATAGTGGTTATTTCTTCAGTGTTACACGAGCGAGATTAGCTAAAGGCTTATCGAATGTTCTACAGAGGCTGGAAATGCCATGACAAGTAAATAGTGGTGCGAATTATTCAACCGGAGCCATTTGTCATAGAGTGAATTCCTCACGAGACCACATTGCTGGCGCTGGGCGCCCTCCTTTCTCTTCTCATTTTGATTATGTTGACTTCCACTTTGTGTGTCTTCGAAGTGTTGTATACATAGCTATATATTCTCTGTGTATCATCTTTAAGTGTAGACACTGCCTCCTTGCATTCCTGGGAGTGGCCGAGATTAGTCTTCCTGTAATTCATATTCTTTCTAAGACAACATGGAGCTGCAGAGTCAGGACAACTGTTTCATCTTGGATCTGAGTGTAGAAATTGAGGGACCAGCAGTTAGTGTAATGGCTATGTCACTGAACTCCCATGTAGCCGGCCACGGTTCGAGTCCCAGACCCGGTGGCTTAAACTCACACCGGGCACATGCGCGTGCGTGCCCAAGATCTTGCAAGGAGAATAGAGGAGAAGGGATTGCAGGGTGGCCATGTGGCCATCCCCCCTGGTGTGGTGATTTTTCGCTTCCTATCTCTCTGTCTCTCTGGTGAGAACACACACCCTATAGCAAAAAACCTCTCAAAAAAGAAAAAAAAAAAAAAAAGAAATGTGGGTATAGTTTTTTCAGCCATCATTTAATTTGCTACTCTGAGGTTTAAGTCCCAGACCTGGTGACTTGAAAATCATGCCAGATGTATATGCATGTGTGCCCAAAATCCCAAGAGGAGAATAGAGAAAGGATTGCAGTATAACCATTGTCCCTAAGGAGGGTGATTTCTCACCAAATACCATGTAACAATGAAAACAGATGGTTCACGTGTGTACACATGTATGTACTGTACATGCACACAGATGCACACGTGGAAGATCTGCAGGTGTAACTGGTAAGAACAACAAATTGCAGAAAAACATGAATATCATGATTCTGCTTTTCTCTGAAAAATATGTGTCATGTGTGACATGTGTGTCACATATGTTACATGTAACTGCACATTGAAGAATATGGAACTTTCTGTGTGAAAGGGTTAATGGTTACTTACCTGTAGGGCAGGAAGTAAGACTGGAGGGCAGAGGGGCACAAGCAGAGACTTCCCCTTTTTACTATAAAGCTTGTCTTGTTCATGCTAAGAACACATTATATCACGTGCTTTTAAATTTTTGTAAACAGAAAACTGTAGTACACTAAGGTGTGCTCAGTGTCCTAGGGCCTGGAGGAGAATGTCGGTGTTGGGGAGACAGACACGCTTGGTTCTCAACACAGGCTCTGTTCCAAGTACAGATCCCCACTGCTCACTGGAGAAACAAAGCCAGTGTGTCTAAGTTCTCTGATCTAAAAATGGGGAATAGTATGGCAGAAGTTGGTTGCAAGTGTTAAGTGAGTCTTTGCATACAAAGGGCTCAGAAAAGCTGTAGCTCAGGAAAAGCGTGAACCAAGCGTGAGCTCTGTCACTTAGGAGGAGGTAGCCAGCTGCACCGGGTCTTCAGTGCAGTGGTCCAAGGTGATGAAGTCTCCGGGGAGTGGGGTGCTGCCTGCCCTGTCTGGGAATCCATGTGCTTCTGTACTCGCCTTTCCATCTGTGTTTATACATCTGTATGGACTGAAGGCAGGGGCCAGAGTTTCCTCTGATTAGCAAGGGAATCTGTTAAGTATAAATGTTTAGCAGTGGATTAAATAGTATAAGACTAGTGTCATTCATTTGCATTTTAAATAAATATATTAAGTGTCCCATAACATTTTATATACATAATTGAACATTTCCAAACAAGGGGATTCGTCATTTTAAGATATTTATTGTAAGTCTGGTTTATTAACTATCATTAAACAGGAAGAGGATCTTGTAGCTAAAACAACAAACACATGATACTTTCGTGGATCCTGAAAGTACATTTCCTCCTGGTCTCCTGTCAGTTTCAGCACATATCAGTATTAGGAATCTTCCTGTACTGGTAATAAAAATAAGTGTACCTAAAATTTTTGTTGTTAAGACAGTATACTAGTTTTCTAAGACTGGTGTGATCAAGTTCCACAGATTGGGCAACCACACAACAGACATTTCTTGTGTCGGTTCTGGAGGCTGAAGTCTGAGAACGAGGTGTCAGCAGGGTCAGTTCCCTCTGAGGCTGTGAGGAGGGTCTGGTTATCGGCCTCATGGTTGACAATCCACAGCATCTCTTGACTTGCAGGGAGGTCACTCCAAGCTCTGCCTCCATTGTCCCATGACATTCTCCCTATGTCTGTGTGTCCTTTTTCTCTTCTCATAAGGATACCAATAATTGGATTTAGGGTGCACCCTTCCAGTCTGACTTAATTCATATAACTTTATTATATTTCAAATAAGGTCATAGTCCCAGGGACCAAAAATTACCTTTTGGGGAACACAGTTCTCCCCATAATACATACAAAAGCCTTTAGCTTTGGACTTTCACCTTGAAGATGTCCTTTGTAGAGGATGGTGGTCGGGTGAGGAGATGCTGGTAGAGCTACAGAGAACTGCGTTTTTCATTTCAAAGTTTCAAATGAGTTGATGTCTTTGCAAAACAGAAAGCTGAGAGAATCATATACATTCCAGTGGCTTGAACTCATTGCATCCAGGTGTTTCTTGTGAGTTTTATTATTTAAGCAACTTTTTCCTTTAGATCTGGGTAATTCTACTTGTTTTGATTCTAATAGATGGAATAATTCAATTTCCAGACTCATGCTTTTTAATATATCAATAATGCAAATGAGATTTCCTTTTGCAAATATTAACTTTTATGTTTTCTCGTTTATGTCTTTAGGTTCATAATAAACCTTTGTAATACTTTAAAGTTAAGCAGCCAGCTTAGAGTTTAACATATAGGTCTTAAAAACTAATTGAACACCTGACTGTGGAAAAGTACAGACATACATGTGATGCCAACCTAAGTCTCGGTCTCTCACACTGAAGAATCTTAATGTTCAGGGATAAAATTCATACTCTTAGAAATATTTCATTTATTCATTCTGTCAACAGATACTAACTGCTGGACACTATCGTAGGGGTAGAAAACAGCAGTGAACAAAAGGAAAACTGCCTGCTCTCAGGGAGGCCCAATTCCAGTGGAAGAAGCTTCAACCATGTAGTCTGATAGTCCCTGTTCTGGAGCGAGGAGTGCTGGGAAGATGGCCGGAGGGGTGATGGGAAGTCTCAGATTTAAGCCAACCCCCAAGGGCAGTGAGGGAGACAACCCTGTGGATGTCTACAGAAGAACATTCCGGGTTGGGGCAAGAACCAGTGCAAAAGACCCGAGGTAAAAGTATTGGAGACTTGAAGATGAACGAGATGAGGGAGAGGAGACCCTGGAGCCAGTAGGCAGAAAGAGACAGATTATGAATGCAGTTTCTCTTGAAATTACTTTATATAAACCCCCTATTCTCTGAGCCACAATGCATTTTACCGTATATCTACCCAAATAATTTTTCTTAAAATGTGGCAGCCAGAATGGCAGAGCATCCATCTTATTCTGAATTCTTGTGTATAAGGCCTAGACAGTACATATCTGACTTGAGGCTGAACAGTCAAGCTTCCTATCATTTCTAGTCACTGACATTATCTATATTCTTAGAGACGTTTTTCCTCTTCTGCCATTTGCAAAACTGAAAAATAAGACCTTGCAGGGGATGAGGAGGGTTGAGGGGTGAATAAATCAACTGATTGATCAGTCTGTGGTGGGGATGCGTGAAGAGAGGACAGGTTGTCTGAGGAGCACTGTGTTCATGAGGTGTTTTAAAGTATCCTGGTGACTCGGGTAGAAATCGTAGAGTTGGCACTAACAGCCCATCAAACAGCACTCTTCACTGCAGGCATGTGCATGGCCAGTCCCGAGGAAGGCCACCTGTCTTTGCATATATGCGCTGATGTGTGCCCCTGGTTACAGTGGCTTATATGCTTGACTGTATTCAAACCAAAATTGTCATTGCAGGCCCACGGACGACAGCAACCAGCCCCCAGGCAGAGGCGTTCTCTCCATGCACGGCCTGACCTTCGGGGTTATCCGCGTGGACTCGGAAGAGAAGCTCTCGGTGCTCACAGTGCAGGATGTCGGCCTCGTCATGCCTGGTGGTGAGTGTGGGCTGTGGGCTGCAGACCTAGGGAGCTAAAGTTGGGAATCTCAGCCTTAGCCTCTCGGACTACTCAGGCAGTGTGTTTCCAACCTGCATCACCGTCTCTCTGTACATCCCCATGCTCTTCTGGTGTGTGCTCTCAGACAGGGCTTTGCTTACAGTCTCCTGAAGTCTTCATTAGGCTTCAGACATCAAAGGCACTACTGCCCTATGGTTAGAGAAAAGCTAAGATGTTCAAGAAGATGGAGAGGGGCATTTTTGTGCCCTGGGACTGTAGGAGCCTCTTCCTGGGATAGTGTCCTGGGCCAGCCCCACCCACACTGTGCCAGCAGCTTCCCTTCTCCAGCCCAAAGAGAGCGCCTGCCAAAGTCTGGACACTCAAACTTGGCTTTCTCAAAAGCATGGCAGGCTTCTGGCAAACGTGTGTGAAAACCAAGGAATGTGTGTCTTAATGATTAGTGAAGCTTGTTTTTAGCAAAGTTTTTTTTCCTTTTTTTTTAAAGTCACAGAAACTATTTCCACAAATACAGGGAGACAACCACCTAATTAAAGTTGCTGTATCCCGCCTCTCTCCAGGCCCCCACTTGAGCACCTTCTCCAGTCACCCCACCATCTATTTGCCAAATGTTCCTACCCAGTCCCACATTTAGGGACTACCAGCATTTAGGCATCTTATTGTCCAGCCCCCAAACCAAGTAGGGGCTCTTTCTTGGCTGGGATCCCCACCCAGAATCTGAATCATTACGAGCTCTTCCTTGCACCAGGATGTGGTCTTGCACACAGTAGGGTAGCGACACCCAACATGAGCATACCTAGTTACCTTATAATCGGCACACGCAGCAAACTGGATTGTCGCATCATAGGCTCTTAGCAAGAATCCAGTCGCTGAAGCAGTCCCTGGTGGGCAGAGGCCACACTGCCGCATGGAGTCTCACAGAGGCAGATTCTTCCCTGTCCTCTGCAGGACTTGTGCTGGGCTGTGCTTCCCCAGAAGTTGCCTGGCTTTTCTGCTGGACAGACCTTGCTGTTCCAGGTCCCCACTACTCCTCTAATTCACTGCTACCATAAACAGTATTTCTGTTCCTCTTTTACCCCGTTAGTGTCACAGAAACTTTGCTTATACTGTCTCACTTCTCCAAATTCTGTATCACCCTGGCGCACTGCACACTTCCCAGCTTTAGCCAGGCCTCTGGGATCCGTTTCTTTCTTCCTTTAAAAACAAATCAAGGCCCAGTCACAAAAGTGAGCGTTGCATTCTACAGCTTGGCAGGCCGAGGACATATGCGGAGTCCAGGTTCGATTCTCAGCCCACCCTAAAAAGCTGGGTGCAGTGGTGTATACTTGTGGTCCCAGCTACTCTGGAGTTTGAAGCAGGAGAATTGTAACATAGTGAAACCCTGTCTAAAATACCACATACACACACCAAAATGAATCTAGTTTTCAAATAAGTAAGAAATCCCTACAATGGAAACTTTGAAAGATTCTGAAGGTTGCATAATGAAAAACCTTGCTGGCCACTATAGCAAGCATAATATCCCAGATTTCCTTTCAGAAATACTCTGGGACTGTAGAAACAAGCACACCCACACATACCATTGTCTTTCTTGGGTTCTTGAGTTTTTTTGTTTGTTCGTTTGGAGAGGTTTTCGCTATAGGGCGCGTGCGCTCGCCAGACAGACAGACAGAGACATAGAGACAGAAAGCGAGAAAACACTCCCCGGGGTGGGGGTGATGGTCACGCTGCAATCCCTTCTCCTCCATTCTCCTCTCAGGATCTTGGGCACGCATGCACACGTGCTCGGCGTGAGTTTTAAGCCACTGGGTCCGGGACTCGAACCATGGTCGACTACGTGGGAGTCCAGCGACATAGCCATTACGCTAACTGCTGGTTCCCCTGGGTTCTTGAGTTTTTTCACTTGACGATAGAGTCTTCATGTTGATAGAGTCTATGTGCCTTCATGTTGTGTGTCTCAAGTTCATTTGTTAGCACATAAAGAGCCTACTCTTTTTTCAGGTGATGTAGCATAGTATTCCATTGTTTGAAGACATAAAAACGACTTAAACCTCCCCATTGGGGTGAGTCTTAACTTGTGCTGCAGCCTAGCACAGTAGATGGCTGCTCTGTGCTGCAGTCTGCTAGCTGTGGGGAGTGTGTGGAGGACAGAGCCCTGGAAATGGAATTTTGGTATCTAAGGAAACACACCTATGTAATTTTGATGATTCTAAATTGCCTCTCAGAAAGGTTGTAGGGGTATAGGGTGCCAGTGTGTGCAAAGCATCAAAGTGTGTGTGACAGACTAGTGAGAGTTTAGCATCACTGATCACTGAATTATGTGTTGATGCAGTCAGTATTTCCTGCCCAGCCCGTGATGTGGTGGCTAAGGTGGTTGAATCCCACATGGCTAACTGCACGGTTTGAGTGTCAGACCTGGCATTTTGAGAAACATGCCATGTATGGGTATGCATACATGCCCAAAATCCTTGCAGGAGAAATGGAAGAAAGGGGATTGCAGCATGACCACCACCACCACCACCCCGTGGGGACTCCTTTCTCACTTTCCCTCTCTGTCTTTCTCTAGAGAGCACATGTGCATTCTGGCAAGTTGGAGGGTGAGGGGGGGAAGAAAGAACAAAAATTCTCCAAAGGGCTCACCTTAACAGGGAATTTAAACTCTAAGACTAAGTTCTCAATAGGACATCACAGAACAAAGGAAGTTACACTACCACTCTCAATTTAGAGAAGCTTTGAAAGACTTTCAAGCAAATGTTTTGTGCTACTTAATTTTCAGAGTGATGGCTGCATCCTGGGAACTTACCCATTTTGCAGCTGGTGTGTTTGGCAAGTGACCATCACATTTATTCTGAGTATCATCCTCCTACCTAAGTGCAGACATTATTCTGCTTAAATACAGCTTACATGTGAAAGCACTTGAAATTTTTATTGGTGTCAGAACTATGAAATTTGACATTTTGCTGCAACTTGAAATCTCAAAACTTTTTTCCGGGGGGGTAGGGTGAATACAAGTCAACTGTTGAAGTCTTGTTCCAGATGTTATTTCTGTTCATTTGTGTCATCTGTAGCCATGTATTTGTTCATTTTTCCTCCACCCCTAGTCTCTCTGATGGTACATGTGCTTCCTTGTTTTTCTTTTAGCCATCATGTGTTCAGTGAAGCCAGATGGGATTCCTCAGCTGTGCAGAACAGACGAGATCGGGGAGTTGTGTGTGTGTGCAGTTGCGACGGGAACATCGTATTATGGCCTCTCTGGCATGACCAAGAACACCTTTGAGGTAGGTTGATAGCGCCCTCTGATTGCAGCTCCATCCTTGGGTTCCTCTTCAGATAGCCACAGGCCGGTACATTGTCACAGATGTGAAAATGAGATGGTAACTATTCAATAAAACATATTTATAAATTATTATGTTAAACTTTCTTCTGCCATTTATCATTTTTGTCAGTTTCATTTATCAGCATTATTCTGAACTTTTTACCAGTGTCAAAATAATAAATATAGCTTAAAATTTTTTTTTTAATTTGATGTTCTCACCATTACCTATATAGTAAAAATGCCAGCTAACAGGTGGGTGATGGAGGAACACATGCACACACATGTATGTGAATGGCCTCTCTTGGAGAAGTCAACTGACTGCCTCCTTTATGCCTTTTTAGCCCAAACTATTCTTATCCACGTGTAAGCCCATGAGAATGTGGACAGGCACGTACATTAGTGATCTCAATATAATTGTGTGCATGTGCTGTGTGTGACATGTGTACATACATGTAGTGTGTACACATGTGTGTGGTATAGGCACACCTGGGCGATGTGACATGTATATGAGATGTCCACATTATGTGTCATACATATACACGTATCTCATATATAGCGCGCATGTGTGTGCCATGTATGTTGTACACATGTGCTATCTAGAGACCTGAGATGTTAAGGGAATCAAATTCATGGGCTCAGTGTTTAGCACTACGTCTTGGTGTTCTCAGAACCTTTATCTTTTTACTAAGTGATATCTGGCTTTACGAGGAGCATAATATCTGATTATGTGTTTGAAAATGTGAATTTTTGAGGGTAACATTGTCTGTGACTGAACAGACGTGTTATTGTGCCTGGGATGGTTTTGTTGAGTGTGCAATCAACTTTATAAAGCATTCTTTCAGACTAGAGCTGGAGCCAAGTCTAAGTGCATATCCCTTGCTAAGTGATTTATCTGGAAAGTGGGAGGAAACGAGGTTTAGAGGTCACACTCATTTGATTGCTTCCTTCATATTTTCTTTTCAGTGTGGTTCCAGTAAGAAAAAGTAACATTTCATGAGTAGGAATCAGTTACCGTCCAACCAACGTGTTATTTAAATGTACCATTTATCACTTTTATGTTGTGGGTCTCACAAAAGAATAAATTGTTTTAGCGTTGTTTTTGTTGTTTTTTTTTTTAATGTGCTGTACTGATTTTTAGATGTTACCTGTTCAGAGGTTCAGAAGCCTGTGAGAATGGGGCCAACTTGAGTCTCTTGCACATATTCTGGTGGTGCAGGAGTAGACCAAGTTCTGCTGCAGGAGGCATGGTGGGAGGGGGTGTACTTTTTCACATTGGCAGTCTGTCTGAGGATGTGAACCCCCACTTCTCGGGCTGGGTCCTGGATAAGAGACAAAACCCAAGGAAAGCACATTCAATTGCTCTGAGAAATGATGAAGATGAAAACCACCAGCCTTGCAAAAGGAGGCCTGATTGACACTGTGTTCACCAGGTGTTTCCCATGACGAGTTCGGGGGCTCCCATCAGTGAATATCCATTCATAAGGACAGGCCTGCTGGGGTTTGTCGGTCCAGGGGGGCTCGTCTTCGTGGTGGGCAAGATGGACGGCCTCATGGTGGTCAGTGGACGCAGACATAATGCCGACGACATTGTGGCCACAGCACTGGCCGTGGAGCCCATGAAGTTTGTCTACAGAGGAAGGTGAGTTGCATGTCTCTGCAAATTAAGTGTACACTTTTGTGTAGACCACCCTTTTTGTACAGTTAGCACAGGATTTAAAGTGACATAAGCCCCTTACATTTATTGTGGCTGTTTCTTCTGCAAAATTAAAGCAGCTAGACTCAGTGATCTTTGAAATTTTATCAGAATGTTCAAGATTTTCTAGAAATTCCATGAGCCCCATAAATATATGTTCATGAATTTTGCCCCAGGTCAAATAAAAATAGCTATTTAAAAAAATTTTAATAAAAAAAGTTCATCTCAGTATGGGTTGAAAAGACCCAGAAATGACAGCTGGGTCACAGATCTGTGTGGGACAACAGGTGTTCATTCAGTTCCTGACTGCAGTAAGTCTTGTTCCCTTTTTCCTGCCTTGCCTGGTGCAGTGGAGACTCAGTAGAGATGAATTAAATTAGTTACTACAGTCCCTGAGTCTGTTGCTAATTTGAAGGAAATCAGAAGCAGCTCTTTTCAGTTTGGCAAGCTGATGAGAGTAAGAAAAGTACATACTTGAATATCACATTGTCATCTTTAAAATTGCCTTTAAAACCATAACCTATTTGGCAGAAAGAGTG